AAAAAAAAAAAAAAGAAATGCCTTCTAAGAACAGCTGGAATTCCTGTGTCAACTTGCCCTGGCCTGAAAGGAAATGAATAACAAATAGGAGATAATATATTTCAAAGAATCTAATGTGTTTATGACTATATGTACCACTAAAGAAAAATGCTGCCAACTAAACTGACATGCCACGAATTTTTAAAATGCATCCCAACTTCAAAGACAATAATATGAAAAACAAATGTATAGCTTAAGGGTGGGTATGGTGGCTCATGCCTGTAATTTTAGCACTCTTGGAGTCTGAGGTGGGTGGACTGCTTGTGCTCACAGGTTCAAGACTAGCCTGAGCCAAGACCCCACCTCTAAAAATAGCCAGGTGTTGTGGTAGGCACCTGTAGTCCCAGCTACATGAGGCTTAGGCAAGAGGCCTGCTTAATACCAAGAGTTTGAGGTTGCTGTAAGCTATGATGCCATGGTACTCTACTGAGGGTGACAAAGTGAGACTCTGTCTCAAAATCTCTCCTAACAAACAAACCACCAAATGATGTATAGCTTAGATTTAATGAAATATGGTAAACCAACTCATCTATTACCAAAAAGAGGTACACCTTCAGCACTAACCTAAATTAAATAAAATTTCCAAAAGGAGACATTCCAGTGGCATCAGGTGGAAAAGTGTGAATGAGCTATTATTCTAAACTGTCAGTTATAATAATAATGAGCCAGCTCATGAAGCTGAAGTAACTGAAGGAAGACTTGAATTCCTCCAGTATAAAAGTGGAATATGTCAATCATGGCGGAGCTCAGGCTTAATAAGTGAAAAACCAAGAAATGTCAAATGACAGAGAACTCCCACCCAACTGCTCAGCAATGCTTATGTGGCTCAATGCTTAATTCTTGACATCACAGTTTAGTCTTAAGATTTCCTTAAGATTTAAGAAAAATAGGAGAAAAAAAGAAAAAGAAACAGCCTGTTCTGGGGGTGGCGCCTGTGGCTCAAAGGGATAGGGCGCCAGCCCCGTATGTTGGAGGTGGTGGGTTCAAACCCAGCACCGGCCAAAACAAAAAGAAATAGCCTATTCTGTAATTAATACTCTGTGACACACCTCCTGCAGTTAGAGCAATGGCAACAACTTGGTATGCCTGCTTTTGCCCATCTTATTTTTTTTTTCTTTTTTGTGACAGAGTCTCAAGCTGTTGCCCTGAGTAGAGTGCCACGGTGTCACCATAGCTCACAGCAACCCCAATTCTTGGGCTCCAGCAATCCTCTTGCCTCTGTCTTTCTATTTTTAGTAGAGATGGGGTCTTGCTCTTGTTCAGAGCTGGTCTCAAACTACTGAGTTCAAGCAACCCACCCACCTTGGCCTCCCAGAGTGCTAGGATTACAGGCGTGAACCACCTTGCCCATCCTCTTTTGCCCATCTTAAAATGTTAACCAAGGTTCTGTGCAGATTTAGGTATTCTGCAGTGTGAACTCAATAAAGCTGCACAAAAGTGACAAGGACACCCTGCTCACCAAAGGTGATGTAGCCAATGTTGTCACCCACGGCAGCATCTGTATCTTTCAGCTCGAGAGGAGGTTCCCTGTGGCTAAAGAGGACCTGTGGGGCTGTGTGGCTGGCTCTGCGTCCTTCTTTGAACTCCTGCCAAGAAAAGCAAAAGCAACCAGGAGAAGACAGTGAGTGTAAAATGAAAAGCAACTTGTGCTATAGGGTTTGCCCTGTGCCCTGTGACCCTGTAGCCCTCTGAACCAGGAGATGGTTAAAAATAAAGCTACACCAAACCTCAAATATTAAATGTAGGCTGCTATCATTGAAAGGGAAAGGCTGGCTCGGCGCCTGTGGCTCAAGCAGCTAAGGCGCCAGCCACATACACCTAAGGTGGCGGGTTCA